TCATTTCCATGGAAGGCATTCCACATTTCTACTTGCAATCTGAAATATTGGATGCCCTCTGTATTCCTCCTTCTTACAACTCAGAATTAATCCAATAGGAAATGCCACAGAGTTCATTAAATACACCCAGAACCAAATCATGTCTTATTGCTTTCCTTCCATACCCTAGACATACAGCTGACATCCCCCTCCTGGAACACTGCACTAGTTTCCTACACTTTTTCCTCCTGGTCCCTTGCCCTTCACTTCTCAATTCTGCACAGCAACAAACAGATGCTTCTAAAGAAAACTACATTCTTGTAACTCCACACTCAACAGAAGAAAAGTCAAAACCCTTATAATATCCTGCGGGCTAGACATCTGACTTCATTTCACATGCTCTCTGCTCCAGTCACAGCGGCCTCTCACCCTTCCCTAAACACAGGACACGCTCCTGCTCTAGTACATGTGCACTGAAGGTTCCCCTGCTTGGAATGAACTCCCTGAGACATGCTCTTCAACAATTCCTTCATGGGGCCCCTGTGTGCCTCAGTCGGTTAAGTGTCCGACTCTGGGTTTTGGCTCAGGTCATGATCTCACGGTTTGTGAGATGGAGACCCACACTGCACACAAAGCCTGCTTGGGATTCTTTCTCTCTCCCTCTCTTTCTGACCCTCCGCGGCTCTGTCTCTCTTTCTCTCTCTCAAAATAAACAAACTAAAAAACAAAACACAAAAACAAAAACAAAAAAAAGCTCCACCAATTCCTTCATGTCCTTCACATCTCCCAGAGCTCACCTTCTCACTGATCCTTTTAGCCACCTTCCCCATCACAGCACAGGAGACTCTCTGGGTCGCCTTCCTCAAAGCACCTACCAACCTCCAATTTAAACACTTCTCTTATTTACTATGTTTATATAATATACAGCTAACCTCTGAATTACACTGGTTTGAACTATGCATATCCACCTATATGCAAAATTTTTTTACCATAAGATTGTCAATGCGATTTCTCTTACATATGATTTAATATTTTCTCCAGCTTTATTTATTGCAACAATACACTATATATGTAACATACAATATATGTGCTAAGCAACTGCTCAAGTTTTCAGCAAGGCTTCTATCCAACAGTAGGTTATTATTAGTAGTACTTAAGTTCTAGGGGAGTCAAAACTTATACTTGCATTTCTGACTGCACAATGGGGTCATTGCCCTCAATCCCCACATTGTTTCAGGGTCAAGTGCAATCTACCCCATCACTACTAGGACATATTCTCTACAACACCAGCATGTTTGCCTCTTCTTAGAGTCACTGAGGTGTCCTAGATGAAAAAATAGTGGGTCCTGCACGTGGCACACGACA